CGCTAAGTAAGAACATAGGGTAATGATATATGTTATTTAGTATCTATTTACCCCATCATAGAAGTTTACCTTTAAAGGTTGATTCCTGTGTAAAGAGGGGTTAAATATATTAACTGGATTCGGTTCCAGCAGTATACGGTGAGATATCCATAGAAATGGGCGGGTTATGAGAGCTTTCCACCCAGTGATAATGATTGACTAATAGTGGCAATGAGGAAGGTATATAGAGATAGTTGCTGCGCCATACAGCCATCCCTATGACTAAGTCGGAAGTGATGAAATGCGTCATCGCGAGGCTGTGCAGCAACCAGAACTGATATCGGGATCCGGAAGTAACGCAGAAGTGCCATTTTGAAGGGTCTGGCAGTGGTGAGAGCACACTTACATCTGATGTCAATGCATTGGAATATGATAAGCATTTTTAAACTTACGCTTTCTGAGTGGCTTATTAAACTTATTGAATAAAATGTAGAGCATTGGTTACTGTACCATTGAAGTGTATTTTTTACTTTTTCATGACAATGATACCTGATGGAGAGGAGTAAGAAGGTCTATGAAGTCTATGAAGTTTACACAGCGGTACTGCAATTGGAGATCTAACAAGCAATACATGCCAACCATGAGAGTGGGAGGTATGTTGGTCTCACAAGCACGTAGTGATTTTGGTTTGGGATACCAAGTTATAGGAAGATTGAAGCACTGAAAGTGACTTTCACATTATTTGATGGACTTTTTTGTTTCACAGTAGTGGATGGATTTATATTATATTATGAATGATTGTTTATAAGTTGTATTTCTGATTCACTGTTCACAGCATCACTGTAGAGGGTGTTTTGTGTATTATTTGTTCACAGCGCCACTCTATAAGTTGTTTTTTGTAAATTCCTCTGTTGGCTGGCATCACTCAGTCGCTCCAGAGTCTGGAGGGACTTCGACTTTAATGTTGGGATCCATCCAGATTCCTGACCAGCAGTTTGCTCCGCCTCTCGGTGAGCTGCTGAGATCCTGGGCCAGCCGCTTCTGCCCCCTCCACAGCCCTGGGCTCTAGCAAGTGCTGGTGGGGCAGAGCAGAGAGATGGTGACTGACAGTCACCAGTTGTCTGCTCACTGAAGATCGAAAAACCAAGCAATCTGCGGTCTTTGATCACTTGGTTCTTGGTCTTGAAGACAGCAGGTGACAGATGCAGCATCTGATTGATGCTGCATCCACCTATATGAGCAGACATGTTTATTTTGAAATCCTGCACTTCTCTTTTAAGCACATAGACAGACAGAATGGATAGATTGCACACACGTATTAGAATATCATTAGTAGCTTTTATATAAAGCACCTCGCACATTAAGTTTTCTGTTCTTTAAATGCTAGCAGATGTTACTTGTTAATTCTTGGTGGATATACAGCAAGGCTCTCAAGTTCCAGAGCATGGAAGGATAAAAAATGTATGATGGAACAAGCTGTGGGTCTATATTGCTGCTAGCCCTCCATAAATATACTGCTTATGTCCCAGATGCCAGTTTCCTGTGCCAGAAGAGTGAGTGATGCCAGCACTGAATATGGGAGGGGTAGACAGGATACAATTACCAAGTAACGCAGAAAGGTTGAAGAGGTGCAGAACACCCTGTGTCTTGCAATGTCAGCAAGTTCCTATAGGAGAAAACTCTGCTTGGCAGATCCATTGAGACCCTGAGCATCCCTCCCTCCTGTGAGTCACACTTTACAACGGAGAAAAATTAGTCTTTGCTCATTCTGCATTAAATGGACAATCCTGACACAAAACTGATGCATCAGGCCAATTCTCACTATGTGCGTCACACTTAGTTTGGAATTTCAATAATGTACGTAGTAGTCATAGAAATGTTTCTGACACAATAATGAGCTGTTTTTCTCAAATGCAATCACTCCATCACATATTTCCCATGGTTTCATCCAAAAAAGCACATCCTGTCACAGTTACAGAAATTGCTTTCCCTTAGAAACAAACTGCATAAAACATCATCAAGCAGATATTTAATAATCGGGCTAATGTCACATTGCAGTTTTTGACAAAGGGGAGGGTTACAGAAGAGCTTTTTCTACCAGTAGCTTTTCAAATTGAAAATCATTGCATGCAAATTTCCCATTGTGCTGATGATTGCTGCATCTTCTCATTGTGAAAGTCAATAGAAAATACTGAGATTCTATTACAGACACAGAATTTATGGAAAAGGACCCACCTCTCTGAACAAGCATACAAAGATTTCATGTGATCTCAGTCTATAATTATTACATATACTAATGTAAATTAAAGTGACACTAAACAATATCCTCAGTCTCAAAAAACAAGCAAACAAATCCACTACTTATTGGCCCTGTAACCCATTTTTCATTAATTTGTTTCTTACTGTGCTTTTCTGCCTCCTTGTAATATCTTCCATGAGCACCTGAACCTCTCCTTTTCCCTCTTACCTCTGTTACTTTGGAACAAGTTAGTTGCCATCATGTGCATTGCTCCATGCACAATACACATCCAATTGTCTCTAGCCCATCTAGGGAGTAAGCAAGAGAGAGTGGCTACATTCCTACAAAAACAGTGGGCCCATAAAGAAGTTGGATCACAGCAGCAAAATAAAAAGATAGGCACTATTTTTACTTAGAAATATATACCTGAATAGGATATGTTTTTCAAACCAGAATTTAGTGTCATTTTAATTGATGTCATTCATATTACTGTAATATGGCTGTATGTGAAAAGTGGATAATATTAAGGGAACCTATAAGTACAGACATATGTAGGGGTAGTTGATCCAGGGAATATCTGAAGCAATTGCCTCTTGGGGATAGGAAGGAATTTTTTTTACCCCCCGCTGGAGCAAATTGGATCATGATTTACTGGGGGTTTTTTTGGCTTTCCTCTGGATCAACTTTGGGTATAGGATTGTGTGTATGAAGGATTTCGATTTTTCTGTTTTTTTTCCTTTATTGGTGGAGAACTAGATGGACTTGTGTCTTCTTCCAACCTGTCAAACTACGTAAACTGCAGCTGCTGACTTACTTTTGAAAAATCACTGACTTGCTTTTGGAGCAAGCATACAGGTTGGGTGTCTCATACTTCTCTGTCTATAAGCTTGTCGCAGGTTTGTGATTCATTAGCATTAGCATAGCGAGGAAACAATAAGGATGACATCCTAGAGCCTACATGCACCCTCAAAAAAAGTCAGAAATAGTATTGCCTAGGTTTCAGTCCAGACAGGTTCTCTTTAAATATGTATTATGGGTAAGGCTTATGGAGATGGTGGCTATAAAATGCTCGGATCAGCAAAGAATTTTAAACTCCCAGTGGGCATTCTGAATCTGATATTTTGATTTAATTTATATGCCAGCAGATTGAATCACCCACCCTTTAATCACCCACCCTTCTTATGGCTTTTGTTTAATTTGGATGTTAAGCTGGCTATAGATGGAACACATTTTTTGTTCAGCCAGTGGCCTGAATGAAAAAAAAAAAAAGAATGGATTTCTCCATCTACACAATCAAGGAGGATAGAAGAATCCTCCTCGTTGATTCCCTGAGACATTGGGATTGATTTACAACAACTAGAGAGTGCAAAATCTAGTGCAGTTGTACAAGGTAGCCAATTAGCTTCTAACTTCAGCTTGTTCAATTAATCTTTGACAATAAAACCTGGACGATGATTGGTTTCCATGCAGAGCTGCCCCAGATTTTGGACTGTCAAGTTTTAGTAAACCAACCCCATTGCATCCTGACAGCAGGGACTCTCTGCTGATCAAGAAATTTTTTTCCAACATACGCTTCTGTTGAATGGGAGTGACCACACTTGGATCTCATTTTAGGCCGGTTTCTGCTGAACCGGACAAATTTTGTGCCATGTATGGCCAAATTAAGATTCCAATCTCCACCCAACTGACACAGCCAGCTCCTTTTGGATTTTTAATATTCTGTACTTTAGTATGACTTTATTGTGAATAGTCTATGAATCTATGAGGGAGATTTACTAAAACTGGTGCACTTAGAATGTGGAGCAGCTGTGCATGGTGGTCAATCAGCTTCTAACTTCAGCTTGTTCAATTAAGCTTTGACAAATCCTGGATGCTGATTAGTTTCTATGCAGAGCTGCACCAGATTTTGCATTCTCCAATTTTAGTAAACCCTCCCCTAATTTGTCTCATATTGCAGCAAAAGAAATGAGACTCCATTGTATGCAGCGATGGATGTCTATAAGAGGACAGTAGGGAATATAGCTCATAAGTATAATGCCATAGCTAAAAAATGCAATTGTTAGATTGAATGCCCCTTTAAGATAGAGGCATAAGGAGGACTTGCATGCAGTAACAGCCTGCAGTGTTGGCTGCACAGATCTTCAGGCAGTCCTAAAAATGTCTTTCCCCGGTTAAGGATTTCTCTTTGAGGGTCAATGCTGATTCTGTGTGTGGTGATGTCCCCAAGTGATGTACATAATGCAGTATGTGATTAAGCTCGGCCTAACTAGTAAAGCCTTTGCTGCAGAATTAAGCACTAAGAAAGACTAATCAATGGGAACAGAATCCTGTGCTGTGCTTTTATGTAATGCAGGAAGAAAATGATTTATGCTAAAAGCATACAGAGCTTACCAGCGAGGTGATAGGAGAATTAAATCATATTTAACCCTTGCACTCCCAACACCACTGGTAACAAAGTGATCCAAAGTATTACAGATATATTTGGTGGAGATTTCATCCTATAACATCCCTGTTAAACCCCTATCCAAAGTGATTTTATCCCAAACACAAAGGATAAAGTGACATTGCTAAATACTCAGGTGACTGGCACGCTGCCCCATGGCTTTCAGCCAGCGGTTTCACCCTCTGCCGTTGAGTCCCCCCCCCCCTCACCACACTGTCACGGGAAGTTGCTGCCTGCAAGCAGCCGCAGTCAGGTCGGCTGCCCCTTGGAAGTGATGAGTCCAGCAGAACATACCCTGCCTCTCAGTCTGTCCCATTCTCTTGCAGATCCAGAGCCGCAATGCATATGACTGATGTTCTCGCTGCTGGTGACATCTCAAAGGCTGTGTCGGCCTTTGCAGGTAAGAGAAGTTATGCTGTGTGCATGCTTGAGTGGCATTAAAGCTCTTTTGCCAATTATTGCATCCTTTGAAGCAGAATTGAGTGAATTAAAATGTGAAATGTGCCACTACCACTGCACTGCAGAAAAGTTAAAGAACTCCTTGTACACTTGCTAATGCTTACAAATTTCTTTAGTGGACTTGTAAGTCTTTAGGTTTATATTTTAGAGATTCTATAACATAGTTGATGCTTCTGGAGCAGTATAGTTGCAGTCATTTTACAATAACTCCCAAGGACACTTAGGGGGTGATCACAGGTACCTAAGCTAGTTGCACTTGATATTGTCTCAACGAACTACAAATCACAAGGTAGCAGACTATAAATAGAAGATTGATTGTTTTTGCATCTTGATTTAAATTATTTTAATAGAGGGTATTGATTAAAAGACTAAAATCTGAAATATAGAAAAAAAAGATTTATGGTTAAATTGATGAGCCCTGGAGTGTTTTTTTTTATTGTCAAAACTAGTCAAGAACAAATTTTTAAACTTTGGAAATGTCCCTGAAAATTATATACTACTGGCAAGTTTTACTAACAAGATTTAGGGATTTTGAGAAAAAAGGTAGGGTTTCCAAAAAGCAAAAGCTCACTTTTTATTGAATGAGAGTCCTTAAGAGACCCTTGCCATATATTTTATGACCCTAATTGTGGATCTCCCTGCCCAAGATCCCCTCCCATCCTTACAAAATTGTCTTGTAACTTATCTCTGCTTTGCTGTAAGCTTCTTCCTGCTGACTTGTGCATCTTAGCCACCCTCTCCTCCCAACTGCCTTCTTCTATTGTCAAGATCTCGCCATCTGTCCTTCACAACTGGTTACGTCGGTATAAATCTGCAAAAGAAAAAGTGAGTGTTAGAGCGTGTTCACTCTAAAGGAACATCTGATTAACATCTTTATATCACAGAGAATTGCTGCCTAAGGGACACCAAGCTTTATTGTTCCCTGAAAGCAATTAAAGATGAAATGATGCTGGAGAAATATCCAGCTCGGATAATGATAGGCTGTAAATTGTGTCATATAAAAAAAGGGAGATCAGCCTTCTATTGTAATCTAGAGCATGACATTTAAAGGAACATCTTATTTTAGAACATGTGCATACACAGAATTTCACAAGTCAGAGTCCTGCCAAGTCATTTATATGCAGTATATGTATTGCATTAAAGGGTTATTCAACTGAAAAATGGTATGGGTGCATTTTGCATCACCATCTAGATTTGTATCTCTCTCAAGGATTCTGATGGTTAGATCTTTGCAGCTCCTGATGCTGCCTATTTGTCACAGTCTTTACCAAAGGAACAATTCTAATGATTGCTTTTACTTGGTTTTCATTAAGAATGGGGCAGCAGAATGAGTGATACCTTAAAAAGGCCATAAATTGGACACATTTTGGTAGGGAGATATACACACTGGAATGGAGCCATACTGTAATTATGTGAGATGGAACACCTTACCAAAAGCATCTAGGGCCCCCTTGTCTCAATAATATCTGCAGTATGAAAACTAGTTAAGGGCTCCCTGTCTCCTGAATCTCTCCACTATCAAAACTACTAACGGTCTCCTTAATCTGCCCAGTATCAAAATTATTATGGGCTCTTTCTAATATCCCCAATATCAGAAGCATTATGGGGTTCCCCTGCCTATCCAATATTAAAACCATTAAGGGACCCAGTAACTTCCTACCTTACTGAATACCAATCTTACATCCTTGCCTCCCCAATATCTTAACCATTAGAAAGTCACCTTGTATTCCTAATCTCTTCAAAATAAAAGGTTTTTTTTTTTTGGGGGGGGGGGTATAAGAGATGACCCTCTCCAAACAGGATAGTGTGTAAAACCTGTAGGTTGTAGGAAGTACCTGTCTGTATACAACTAACTCTGTGGTAGTGTGGTAGACAATAAAGCAAAAGCAATAAGCATTAATAAGAAGAAAATATATCCAAATACACACCATTTTGTCCTCCCCCTATCTCCCTAATCTGCCCAGTATCAAAACTATTGAAGCACAACTCCAGGATTCCCTCACCACAGCACTGTATATTTAGTCTCTGTTCTGCCACCATAGCTGTACTCTTCATTTTGTACATGTTACATTCTAACACTGCATACAACTCTTTTCATCATCTATGACACCACTCCTCCTCTCAGTTGCTGTTGGCAACTCCAGGGCACCTGTAGGAAGTTCCTTCTTGCTGCCTATGTAATATTTCCAGACCACGTCCCATGAGTCTTTGAGAGTTTTAGAGTAGTTCTGGGTGTTACTATAGGCAGGGCTGGAGCTACCATTAGGCGAACTAGTCAGCCGCCTAGGGCACGCCGCCGCCTAGGGCGCAGCCACAACTGCTGGTTCCCCTATTCTCCGCCATGGCCAGATTTAGGGGGGTGATGGGAAGGGTTACACCTCACTCCAGATTTCAGTTGTGAGTCCACATGCTGGTCTTTCCATGGACGCTGTGCCTGGCCACTGAGTGCCTTCCCCAGCCTACAGCAGTGAAGCCTGCATAGAAGAAATAACAGGAGAGAGCTGGTATGTGCAGTTTGTGCTCTCCTCTCCTGTCAGTGGAGCGATCCTCCATAAAGCATATGACACAGGATTGCTCTTATATCGGCATGTTTAATGTTTGATTCATCTCCTGGCTCCCTGCTGAGATGAGTGGTCACTGCAGGAGGGGGGGGGGGGATAATCGAACTGGTACAGCCTGATCTAAGAGGGAACCTGTGTCATCTGCTGTATAGAGAATCGCTCCACTGACAGGAGTGAGGGCACAGCACAACCCCCACCTCTACCTGGTTTCTCGCCTGTAATTTGGGGGGGGAGCTTACAGGCCAGGGAACTGTAGACAATGAAAAGGGGGGGGGGGGAGGGGAACAATAATTTGTGCTGAGATGAGAGGTTTGTGCAGGAGGGGGGATGGGGGCTATTTGTGCTGGGAAGGATAATGGTGATGATTGGGGGTATTTGTTCTAGGAGTAGGAGATGGGGAGATATGTGCCAGGAAGAAGGTTTGCAGGGGAGGAGGGTTGGGGGGATTTATACTAAAGGGGGGGGGTGGAGTATAGTGAGAGCATTTTATGCTGGGAAATGTAGCTAGAGGACGGATTTGGGGGAATTTGTCCTAGGTGTGGGGCTTGAAGGAACAGGATTGGTGTTGGGAGGGGGGATTCGTGCTAGGAGGGGGGAATTTGTGGCTAGGAGAGGGGATTGGGAGGATTTGTGTTAGGAGGGGGGATTTGTGTTAGGAAGGGGGATTGTACTTGGAGGTAGGATTGGGGGGAATTTGTGCTAGGAGAGGGGATTGAGGGGGTGCTAGGAGAGAGGATTGGGGGAGAGATTTGTGCTAGGAGGGGGGAATTTGTGCTAGGAGATGAGATTGGGGAGATCTGTGCTAGGAGAGGGGATTTGGGGGGAATTTGTGCTAGGAGAGGGGGATTGGGGGGGTTGTGTTAGTAAGGAGGATTGGGGGGGTTGTGTTAGTAAGGAGGATGGGGGGGGGGGAATTGTGCTGGGGGGGATTGGGAGGGTTTGTGCTAGAAAGGTGATTTAGGGGAATTTGTGCTAGGAGGAGGGATTATAGTGATTTACTCTAGAATGGGGATATTTGGGGGAGAGGGTTTGTGCTAGGTTGGAAAATATGAGGTAAAGAGGATGTGTGTGCTAGGAGGGGTGAAGTAGAACTACAGGTGATTTTTTTTTTTTTTTTTTTAGGATGGGGGGTACAAGAAGCTGGTCTTGCCTAGGGCACAAAATATACTAGCATCGGCCCTGACTATAGGTGGTGAACGAGGAATAAAGAGCTCTATTATTACCACACACAGCCCAAAGCTCCCTATCTACTGTTTGGGAAGGCAAGGTTGGGGAAATAGGCATGGGTGGATGGGACTGCATTCTAATTACAATCCATTCAATCCCACCCAGCATCTGTGTTGGGAGTGTATTGCATCACTGCTATAGTCTGAAAGACTACAAAGTAGAGTCTAAATGCAATGGCTCCTGCAGGAAGTGGCTGTGCGAAACTCACTGTCGCAGAGCTGGAAATAGGGCAGTCAGGCAATTAAAAAAGTTGTATTTGTTTTAGAATTACAGAGTCTGGCAACATCAGCAGAAAATGTACTACTAGAAAGATTAAGGAGGTATTTATTAAATTATTCATATTGTGTTGAAAAGTTCTGCTTTAAGGGGGTCCCTCACCTCACAAGTTTGCTTAATAATAAATAATTTAAGGAGCCCCACTTTCACTCCCCAATATTAAAATCATACTGCCATATTCAGCCTGTCCACCTAATTTCAATCTAAAAGGTTATTTCTCTAGTGATACCGAATACTAATTGCTATCATACAAAGGTTCCCAAACTGTATCTATAGTATATTTAGTTTATTCGCATGTAGTCCCTAAGATTGGTAAGAAACTAGTGCAAAATTCCACCCAGGGATGTGCACACAAAAGGGATTAACCAATTTAGGGAAGAACGACAATTTCAAGAAAACCCGTGCAAAAATTGTGCTGCCATTGCTCACATGAAAAAGCTAGTTGCCGAGCTGTTTCTGGATGAGATATTGATCGATACAAATCACAAGTATACATATCGGGAAAGTCAGAGTGAAATTGGCTCCCTAATTTGCTTATCCGTTCCAGGTCAGTGACTCAGAAAGCACAGTATGCATTGGAGCACTTTGATATCCATCACTACAGGTTCCCTTTAATGGTACTTCTGTTTTGCAGAACTAAATTCTAATGTTCGTTCATTGGCTGCAGCACTGATTGAACAAAAATATTCCAACAAGCCTAATTAACTTCTCATGAATGGGAATGGTCATAGATAGATCAAAATTCAGTCTATCCCTGCTGAACTGGCTGATTTCGATCCATCTATGGCCAGCTCAGGACATCACAGAACGCAATCTCTAGTCAACTTCCTCAAAGGCTCATTTACACTTGCCACAAAGACTTCCCTGAAAAGCGACTGGCTCAGTGTACACCTACAGAAATAGTGCTGACACACAAATAAAAGCATCTATAACAGAAGACATGTACTCAGTCTCTTCTGGTGTTGAAAAACTGGTCAGCATTTAAAAAGACTTAAGTTCTGCTTTAGGTATGAGTGCTACCCCCATAGGAACTGCAAGCACTTTGCTCAGGCTTTCCCATAAATCTTCACCTGCAGCCAAGGACACAGTATTTCCTATAGCCAGGTGCACACAACCTCTACTCATTACCCCAATGATCAGCCTAGGGGTTTTAGTTTTTGGTTTTTTTTTTTTATTTTGTTTTAGAACTGGGATAGGGAAGGGATATAGTGGGATACTTCAAATTTAACTGTTCACAGTTGAGACAGCTTTCTCTTAATGGATCTGTGGGTTTTCTTAGTAGAACTGTGTAGCAGACTGTACAAAGAATGTTTCTTCTGTAGCAATGCAGAGACTGAATGGACAGTTGTTCTTCGGGACACCAGCCAGCGTCCCCTCTACCTTACACCCAGCAGCTGACTATATAGGTCTGGGAGGGTTACCAGCACACATCCCAGGAGCCCTTTTGGATAGTCGGTACTCACAACACCCTTGCTGCAGGTCACCTTCCTCCATGATACCAGACAGGATCTGTATACATCCCCCTCAGTCAGCTTTAAGAAGCACCCTGGGTTTCAGCATTCTGGCCCTTGGGTCACCCACCCGAGGCCTCCTGGCAGCATGAGCCAGGGAAGACAGCCGCCTCCCTGGCTGGAACTCCTCTGTCAGGAGAAGGAGAAGAACCCAAATCCGATGTGCTCACTGACTATAAATACTAGTACCCAGCATGCTCAGAGGCACCAATCCTTGTAACTGGCTGGAACTGCATCCATATTCATACTGCTCATCTGCATGGTTCATACTATCCACCCAGAACCTTCCTTGGTTACCTGGATACAGATGAATCTTCACCCAGATATATCGGCACTGTGAGTCACACAAGATGAGCTAGCTAAACAATTGTAGCTCTTCTGTTAAGCAGAGAGAGAGAGCCACTACATCTTCCTACCGATCCCTGTTAAGCAAAAGACCATAATATGCTATAGTCAACTATCTACATCCTAGCACCTATCTAGGAGGGTGCTACAGGTACATAACCCACACCTACCCACCACACTCAGTCACTTATTGTACAAAAGAAGACCAGGACAGAGATGGAAGTATTTCAAATAGCATCTAGCCAGACTACAATAACAAACATACTTTTATAGTTTATCAATCTTGGTGGATTTGGCTTGGGGAGAATTTTGGCTTGCAAGGGGAATATATGCTTAGGGGGTTAGCGTGCATGATTTTTTTTTTTTTTGGGCGCGTGGGGATTTTTGCTGACACATAACACTCATACATCTTGAGGGGGCATAGTTTGGCATCTTTGCCGTAGGCACTAGGTAACTTTGTCCCAGCACTGGCAAGGATTCTACTCTACAGCTACTGGCAGGGGACAGGTTTCTCTACTCAGGCTGTGGCTCACCTTATGTTTTAATAGACCGGGAATGTATAGTATTTAGCTGATTTAAACTAAAAGCCCAGTTGGGCTTTAATGTAAATGATTAAAACAGATTGGTCCTTAGGCTGTACATTTATTCCAATGCCCTGTGCTTCAGTTTTTTATACATTAATGAGCTTTTATTTTCTTGAATTCTTCTACCTACTGCTTGTTCTATGTTCCCTAGCTGCTGACTCATTTAACCACAAGAAATTTTTTGAGTTGTGTGGCCTTAAGAGCAAAAGCAAAGATGACATGAAAAAGGTTTTCCACATCTTGGACAAGGACCAGAGTGGTTACATTGAGAAGGAGGAGCTTTGGTAAGTCAATGGACACACTTATAATTTGTAGTCAAGGGGGCCTATGTATAAAGCATTTATTAGATCAATGTCACAAACATTCGCCCACTCTGGATGAATTCTCACCGTTTTTTCTCTAATATGATTATTTGATATGATTGTCAGTGCCATCCAGTGACCATACTGCAGTATTTTATCTGAAATACCTCAATCAAGAATATACTGCATTTTGGCCACTAGATGGAGCTGGTGATAATAAGAAACTACAGGGAAATTTTGAGCAAGAAGGGCGAATATTTGTGAAATTCGTCCAATGATTAAAAAAAGAAAAAAAAACAGACCCCATAGACATTATCTAAGTTCTTTGATGAATGCTTGAGCTTTTTATAGAAAATACCAGCCTGCGAAATATTTTCATTTCCATAAACCCTGACTTCCATGGAGATACCATCACAAAGATCCTATAATAAGGCCCCCGAGGACTCTGAATATGAATGAAACAGAACATAGAATTATCCAATATTTGCAGGCAATTGAACAACCTGTATAGGACAATTCATGTGCACTGGGATGCCTTTATAAATCCATGTGCAAAATCAGCGTTTATTTTCAAGTTTTGCACAAAAGCTCATCATGAGGTGCTTGCTTGTACTATAAGTAAATGACAAAGCTACAAATGGTAAATTAGAACATTATTCAAGCTCTGCACTGTGTTGTACATAAATAAAGCCTATTATAAAATAATGAAGCTTTGAATTGCAGAGGGCTTTCCATGTAAGAGTACACTGCTCAAAAATTAAAGGAACACTTTGAAATCACATCAGATCTCAATGGGGAAAAATATCATGCTGGATATCTATACTGATATGGACTGGGTAATGTGTTCGGAATGTAAAGATGCCTCATCGTTTGATGAAAATGAAAATTATCAACCTACAGAGGACTGAATTCAAAGACACCCCAAAAATCAAAGTGAAAAAATGATGCAGCAGGCTAGTCCATTTTGGTGAAATTTCATTGAAGTAACTCAAAATGGTACTCAGTAGTTTGTATTCCCCCACGTGCTTGTATGCATGCCTGACAACGTTGGGGCATGATCCTTATGAGACAACGGATGGTGTTCTGGGGCATTTCCTCCCAGATCTGGACCAGGGCATCACTGAGCTCCTGGACAGTCTGAGGTGCAACCTGTCGGATGGACCTGCTATCCCAGAGTTGTTTATTTTGGATTTAGGGCAGGTGAACCATTCAATGGTTTCAATTCAGGAACTGCCTGAATACTCTCGCCACATGAGGCCGGGCATTGTCCACACCAGGAGGAACCAGGACCCACTGAACCAGCATAGGATCTGACAATGGGTCCAAGGATTTCATCCCGATACCTAATGGCAGTCAGGGTGTCATTGTCTAGCCTGTAGCGGTCTGTGCGTCCCTCCATGGATATGCCTCCCCAGACTATCACTGACCCACTACCAAAACAGTCATGCTAAACCATGTTACAGGCAGCATAACATTCCCCACGGCTTCTCCAGACCCTTTCACATCTGTCACATGTGCTCAGGGGGAACCTGCTCTCACCTATGAAAAGCACAGGGTGCCAGTGGCAGACCTGCCAATTCTGGTGGTCAATGGCAAATGCCTATCTAGCTCTATGGTGCCGGGCAGTGAGCATAGGGTCCACTAGAGGATGTCGGGCCCTCAGGCCACCCTCATGAAGTCTGTTTCTGATTGTTTGCCCAGAGACATTCACACCAGTGGCCTGCTGGACATCATTTTGTAGAGCTCTGGCAGTGCTCATCCTGTTCCTCCTTGCACAAAGGAGCAGATACCGGTCCTGCTGATTGGTTAAGGACTTTCTATGGACCTGTGCAGCTCTCCTAGAGTAACTGCCTGTCTCCTGGAATCTGCTCTATGCTCTTGAGACTGAGCTGAGAAACACAGCATATCTTCTGGCAATGGCATGTATTGATGTGCCATCCTGGAGGAGTTGGACTGCCTGTGCAACCTCTGTAGGGTCCAGGTATGGCCTCATGCTACCAGTAGTGACACTGACCCTAGCCAAATGCAAAACTAGTGAAAAACAGTCAAAAAAGAGTAGGGAAAAAAATGTCAGTGGCCTCCACCTGTAAAACCATTCCTGTTTTGGGGGTCCTCTCATTGTTGCCCATCTAGTGCACCTGTTGTTAATTTCATTAACACCAAAGCAGCTAAAACTGATTAACAACCCCCTCTGCTACTTAACTGACCAGATCAATATCCCAGGAGTTTAATTGACTTGATGCTATACTCCGATAAAAAGTGTTCCTTTAATTCTTTTGAGCAGTGTATATTCTCTGTGGCTGCTGAAGAAGATGACCTGCACAACAAACATACATATTTTACAAAATAAAAATAAAGCATGTATTGCACAATGTGGTGTAATTATTATACAACTGGATGGCAACATTTTCAGTCCTCCCACAATTATTACATCCGGTAGAGGTGAACTTCAGTCAGTAAAATTACCTATTGATATATACCGTATTTTTTCGCTCCATAAGACGCACCTGACCATAAGACACACCTAGGTTTAAGAGGAGAAAAACAAGAAAAAAAATACTCTGAACCAATGGACTGTAGACATAGTACAGGAAATGACCAGAGACTGCAGACATAGTACAGGAGATGACCAGAGACTGCGGACGACCAGAGACTGCGGACACAGTACAGGAGATGACCAGAGACTGTGGACACAGTACAGATGACCAGAGACTGCGGACATAATATAGGAGATGACCAGAGACTGCGGACACAGTACAGGAGATGACCAGAGACTGCGGACATACTACAGGAGATGACCAGAGACTGCGGACACAGTACAGGAGATGACCAGAGACTGCGGACACAGTACAGGAGATTACAAGAGACTGCGGATATAGTACAGGAGATGACCGGAGACTGCGGACATAGTACAGGAGATGACCAGAGACCGCGGACATAGTACAGGAGATGACCAGAGACTGCGGACATAGTACAGGAGGACATGACCAGAGACTGCGGACACAGTACAGGAGATGACCAGAGAGACTGCGGACCTAGTACAGGAGATGACCGGAGACTGCGGACATAGTACAGGAGGACATGGCCAGAGGCTGCGGACACAGTACAGGAGGACATGACCAGAGACTGCGGACACAGTACAAGAGATGACCAGAGACTGTGGACATAGTACAGGAGGACATGGCCAGAGGCTGCGGACACAGTACAGGAGGACATGACCAGAGACTGCGGACACAGTACAGGAGATGACCAGAGACTGCGGACATAGTACAGGAGATGACCGGAGACTGCGGACATAGTACAGGAGATGCAGAGACTGCAAACATAGTACAGGAGATGACCAGAGACTGCAGACACAGTACAGAAGATGACCAGAGACTGCAGACAGTACAGGGGATGACCAAGAGACTGCAGACCTTTGGGAAGGGAGGGGGGAGCGGGTACCTGAATTTGACAGTGCGCATGCGTGAGAAGCGCTGGGCTTTGTGAATGGTCTGGTGTCTTCTGGGACCTGTCATGTCATGTGTCCCAAAAGATGCTGGACCATTCACAAAGTGCAGCGCTTCTCGCTTCTGTCACAGCTGGGTGCCCACAATAAAGATGTCAGCACCAGAAGACTGTACAGCGCTGGACCGAGGAACAGGTAAGGTTCTGCTGCAGAGAAGAGCCGAGCGGCTGGCCAAGTATTGTGACACAGCGGCAGGAATACTGGACCGGCCACTCCATATTCGCTCTGTAAGACGCACTGACATTTTCCCCCCTTTTTTTGAGGGGAAAAAGTGCGTCTCATGGAGCAAAAAAAATACAGTAGATCTTAGGACCCCCAAAAACAAAATCTCACTGTCTAAAGCTGACCATACACAACAATCTGAGTGTACAATCATTAGAATTAGCAAAACTTTGTAATTCAAGGACCTACCTTAAAATGTATTTTAAAGAATAATTTGAGGAATGTGTATTTTATACATAGTTACATTGATCCAGCATGGACCAATGTAACTATGTATATACCATACCTGGCCAATGCCCCTGGAAGCTGCTCTGAAGCTACACCACTACTCCAGTAATCTTCACTTACTTTCAAGTCCCATGCTGAGCAACCAGTCTGATACATTGTGAATACAGGAGGTCGGCCGCTTGGCACATACACCATTCAGAGAATGCAAAAAGTTCCCTGATTGACGAGGTGGAAAGAGTGACATCATCGCACTGCCTATCCAGATCATCCAATCAGTGAATGCTAAAACAAAACATTCTCTGAATGGTGCCCGTGCTGAGAAGCTGACCTCCTGTGTTCAGTAAGCAGAGGTACAGCTAGGAGTGCCACCTTTTCAGGATTCACCCAGACAGTCTGGGTTTTGAATTATGTGTCTGGTTTTCAGTCCAACCAGACACATTATTCAGACTGGACCATGGATCCCTAAGATAGCTGGAGAAAGGATTAAGCATTTTCCTCCTTCCAGCCTACAGGGGGTGATAGAAATCCAGCACTGAGACTGAGAGCTCACCTCAGTCTCAGCACTACACTGCTGCGGAAAGAAGACAGACTGTCCTTCTTCCTTTCTCCTTGTAAGTGAATTATCACATAACTGGAGGAGCTGACGTCTTTGCAGAGTGTGATCTGTGAGTACAGGGGGGAAGGATGGTTTGAAATTTCTGATGTGTGCAGGGACACCTGATGTAAGGGGGCACTCTACTGGGGGCACCTGATATAAGGAGGAATTCTGATGCGGACACCTAATGTAAGGGGGCACTCTACTGGGGGCATCTGATGTAAAGAGGGACTCTTATGGGGACACCTGATGTAAGGGGGCACTCTACTGGTGACACCTGATGTAAGGAGGGTCTCTGATGGGAACCCGTGATGTAAGGGGACACTCTACTGGGGGCACCTGATGTAAGGAGGAAGCCGATGGGGACACCAGATGTAAGGAGGCACACTACTGGTGACACTTGATGTAACGGGGGGGGACTCTTATGAGGACACCTGATGTAAGGGGGCACACTGATGGGGACACCTGTTGTAAGGAGGGACTCTGATGAGGACACCGGATGTAAGGATAAGGGGGCACACTACTGGGGACACCTGATATAAGGGGGCACTCTAATGGGAACATATGATGTAAGGGGGCACTCTGATGGGAACATATGATGTAAGGGGGCACTCTACTGGAGATACCAGATGTAAAGAGGCCATCTGATGGGGACACCTGATGCAGTGTTAATTTTGTTAAAAAAAATATTTTCGGCATAGTTTTCGTCAGCTGCATGTTTTTAGTGCCAAAAACTAAACAAAATTAAAATTCAGCTAGAATTCCGATGACTAAAGTACAACTAAAACTAAAATGGCATGTTAAGACTATAACCAAAACTAAATTTGACATAAAAACTAAAAGTGGTCAAAAAGCAATATTGTTTGTTTACAAAACTTGGTTTTATTTATAAAGATGTTACTTAACTGCTTCCGCACCACCCTATAGCAGAAATACTGCTAAAGGGCGTCACGGGTGCGCAAAATCATGTGTGTATATATATATATATATATATGTGCTTTCGCAGTTCCGGGTAGGGGGCCATTCACAGCCTTGGCTGTCAATCACCGGGTCCCGGCCGGGGATTCCCCGCCAGTACCCAGCGATCACAGAGGATTTCCGACGGGGGAAAGACCTGTATGTAAACAATACAGATCTCTCCCTTATCAGCTCCTGCACAGTGCTTTGTATGGCTCTGCATAGCGGAGGCATACAAAGCAGCGTGCTTACAGTGAAACACAGCACACAGCCCACATAGTAAAACACACACAGTTAACCCTTTGATCCCCACCCACCCATTAATACTTCTTTTCATTGTTAACAGTGAACTGTTAAAGTTTTTAAAGTTGCACTTCTGTTTGTCAAAATGCAATATTTTTGTTTGTTTATGAAACTGGAGATTTTAGTTAACTAAAATACAACTAAAACAATTCAGATGACTAACATATGACTAAAACTAAAATGGCAATTTAGTTAAAAAGACTATGACTAAAACTAAATTGAAATTTGATGTCAAGATTAACCATGACCTGATGCAAGGATGCACTCTGATTGGGACTCCTGATATAAGAGGGATGTCACGTGCACTGTCTTGAGCCACACAGGGGATTAGTCCATAGCCCAGTGCCTGGATCACATAAAGTTTTGGCAGATTTATAAAAAGATTCACGTATATCAAGAATTTAAAATAACCAGCATTGAATAGGACAATGTCTTCCTGATGATGAAATGTGTTGGGTGGAGCTCGGCATGTGGCGTCACCACATTCTGGAGGGACGGCGGCCATATTTTTGGTTTGAAACAATTCCTATTCAATGCTGGTTATTTAAAATTCTTGATGTACGTGGATATTTTAATAAATCTGCCAAAACTTTATTGAATTACTTCACTATGAGTTGCCTTTGTTCTTTATTCCCTATCTGAATATATCGGAGTTTTTTCAAGTTGGGATAAGGGGGAACTCATTTTTTCGGGTGGATATGGTGACGGCCTATAACATCAGAATCATTCTTCTTCTGCAAACTTGTTATATTTCACTGCAACTTGTTATAGAGACTTATATTGATTTTTACTTTTGACATTTCTATGTAATATAATTAGCGCTACATTTCTTTTGTTCATAGAAGGAGAAATATCCCGTGCTGGCTATTGTATCCAGGCAGTCGCAGCACCTGCCCGAATACCCCAGTGTTGATGCAGTCACTGTTTGGCTGATAATTTTCCACCCAGTACAGTTGAATGTTAAATCAACATTTGTCAAGCCCAGGTGGTGCCACAGGGCCACCCACTGCTCAAAGTTAGCTGATTTAGCAGGAATTGGCTGGAAGGCAAAGCATCCATGGCCAACTTTAGAGTTTAAATACACTATTACACCCTATTTACTTTGTATCCTCTCCGGTGGACAGTTGTTGACAGACCAAAGCATTTGGTCCATTTTAAGCTCTAGGGGCATAAAATGAAATCTAGATTGTGTAATATAATGACAGTCCTGATAGGAGTTAGGCTCTGGAAAATATCTAGACACAGTTAGTGTACTGCTTGGTTCAGGAGCAATATACATCTTCCATCTTTTCTTCCATTCTGCAGCCTTATATTGAAATGCTTCACTCCAGAAGGCAGAGATCTGTCTGACAAGGAAACTACAGTCCTCCTCGCCGCTGGTGACAAAGATGGAGATGGCAAGATCGGCGTGGATGGTATATTGTTTTTCTTTTTTTTTTGTTTGATAAACAATTATCAGGATAAATGTATAATGAGTTATTGGCTTCAGATCCATAATGTATAAATTGCATACTATAAGGCATATGTATAAAGCAGTAAATGTGACTTTCACAAAACATTCACTGCTGGTGAATCAATCACTAACATTTAAAAACCTATGCATCAGTAAGATTCACCTGCAATGAATGTTTTGTAAATGTGACATCCACCTGCAGCAAATGTTTGGTAAATGTCACATTCCCTCCTTTATAGACAGTCACATACCCCTAGCAGCTTGTGAAATAGGGACCCATTCCTGAAACTTTTTTATACTTCTGCTTTTAGGAATCACTTTTTTTAAGTATAATTCAGTGCATTTTGCCAATTATTCAACAGATTTATAGGCTCAGAAAAATATTCATAAATGTATGTGCTATCCTTAAAGTTGAAGTCAAGGGTTGTAGGGTTAAAGCAACACTGAATGATATCTTTAGTCTCCAAAATAATCCATACACATCCACTACGTAATGGTCCTGTAATTTAATTTTCATGAAATGCTTTTTTTCCTCCTTGTAATGTTCTTTGTGAACTCACGAACATCTCCCTTTCCCCCACACTTCGGTTTGTTTGGAGCGAGCAATACACGTACCTTGCGGTTATGTGCACTGCTCTATGCACACTACAAATTCCATGGTCCATAGTCCATCCCCCAGGAGCAAGGAAGAGAGGGTGGCTATGTCCCTACCTACAGCAGGACCATGGTGAACGAAGGTAGCAACTTTCTAATAAGAAGCCACAGCAGAAAAAAAAAAGGGATTTGATGGAGGCTGAGAGCAATGGAAGGGACTTTTTTGAGCTAATACATACTTGAATGGAATATATATTTTTTTTTTTAAACCAGAAATTAGTGGCACATTAAATGCTTGTTTTGTCCAGGAGATGTTGAATAAAATGATGTACGCACCATATTCACTGGTAGCAAAGAGATAAAGAGATATGATACACAGGGTGCCATCATCCCTAAATAATACAAAGGGGGGAGTCCTCTTGAGAATTTAACGGCACAATTCTCTTGTATGATAAACTTAAACAGTTCAAAAAAATTTTTTTAAAGATATGCATTTTTATTTTTACAATCTTAAAAAAAACAAACATAAAGCTACAATACAGATTATGGTGGTGTCATCAAAGATGGTGTTTTGAATATAGAAATGGGTCATACATAAATCGCACTTGACACGTTTCGAGACCAACAGCAATCTTTTCCTCAGAAGTGCTCAAGAAGTCATGACGCCTACAACAAACACACACATATCAATATACATAAAAAAAAAAGTTTTGTTGGTGTTAACAATGTGGTAATCTATAATGTGGTTATACACTTACATAATCCCATGTGGGGTGAGAACCGCCAAGGAATTAAAAACTTATTTTTCATGAACACAGCCAAGGACTCCTCATATATCTCAGGCAGGAATAATAGAACAAGAAATAAAAGAAAAAAGAAAAACCAGCAGAGAATGAATGCCACCCAAACACCTCCTGAAGGGGCCCCGCCCAAATGCACCAGTAACAAGACCACTTGCTCGCTGACGCTGATAGGGTAGTGCTGCAAAATGGACAATAAAACAATTGGTATTAATATTAGTTCACTGGCAGCCACCATTCTCTGAGGGCTCCCGCAATGTGGATAGGCCTTCACTTACAATGCATTGTAAATGATGACATGGCCATGGAAGAGCTGTGATTGGTCAGGCAGCAAAGATTTCACCTTATTCCCATTCCCCTAGACAAAAGAAACATTTAACCCTTGCAGTGTGGAGGGGGGGCAGCCCACTACAAGGAAAGTTTCTCCAGCCCTGGATTCAGTTTGTGAAGTGCTCCATAGCAACCAGAATCCATGATGTACTATATGACTACAGCAGAATAAGTCTCGATATCTTGTTTTAATAAAAAACTTTTTAATAAATAAGGCCGATTACTGAATAAGGTCCTTAATGTCTGCATCAAATACATCATGTGACAGGCATTGCCAGAAGTAATCTACCACACTGGGACTCAGGTAAAGAACATTGAGCTTCCTTTATTTAGGTGTCTGCAAACTATAATATGTCAGCATGGGTTTGAATCTGATCGGTTGTTTCAGGCACTTTGATAAATGTGGCCCATTACCTTCAATGACTGAGCAAATTAGCTCTCAGTCCTAAAATGTTTGCAGATGTAGTAAGCTGAATTATTTTGTAGTGTTATAAGTCCATTGCAATGAACCTTTACCCTCTCATATCTTTAGTGAAGGGTCCTAACAGAAACTGGTTAAGGTAAAAAAAAAAAAGGCTGCCATTCTTTACCTCTCCTGCAAAAACTAGTTCCGAAGACATTGAAGACAGCTGGTATCTCTGATTCTCGTTTTGAATTAATCTATTTAATTATGAAGTGCATGCCCCAAATTCTATAAATAGTGACCTGGCTGGATATGGCTCTTTCCTTGTGTGCTGTGTAGCTACGTTATGTTATCTGCTTTGTTAAATGGATGCTGTTGCTTTCCAAAACAAAAAACAAAAATTTGATTCTGCAATAAAGACACTTAAATACTTACCTTTTCAGCAGTGGCCATTCTAAACTCCACTGTGTTACCCTATGAGTAAGCTCCCAATGAAGTAAAACGCGTTAGTAAGTAGAGGTACCAGATAGAGTGGTCTGTGTGTTGGAGGGATCAATAAACTGTACTTGAGGCTTTTAAAGGGTGAGCAGTTCCCCTATTTTCTTCTTGGAAACTGTGTTAAAACAGCATCTCCTGCCATGTGTGGTGGTTTCTCTTGCCAGCACCTACTTCACTACAGGACTCACTAACGATGAAAGAGAGTAACCAAAGTGCACAGCAGGGGATGCAGGCATTCGATATTCTCGGAAATCTCAAATGGTGAAGACTTTGTCACAGGCTGCACTTTTGAATACATAGGAGTTTGGCCTCACCACCTCCCCCAGAAGGTAAGTATTTAGTGTTGCAGGAGCCAATCTTTGTGTATTTTTTGGAAAATGGCAGTCACTTTTAGAGTTTTGTCTGCCTTTATATTACTACTGTCTTGTCACTTCTTGTGTTTAGTCTGTGTCCCATCCTCTTCTCTTCTGCGTTTTGTAAGTCTATTAAATATCCTCAGTGATGTGGATAGTAGGAACAATACATTTAGGGCCGGTTCACACTAATGCATTGCAGGATTTGCAGGGATTCCTGTGCATTTCCCACACCACATCACAATCACATTCCATTCATGCGAACCACTGCAGGTGTCAATGTTAAACTGATGACACCCAAAAAATGGTTAGCAAAATGCAGTGTGTTTGGCTGAATTGGATTGCATGGGTGTTCACACCCATCCGATCCAACTCAAAAAAAAGAAAGAAAAAAAGGGTGCTGCACCTTTCCTGAGGGTGTGTTGAGGGATTTGAGCCTTACATAATACATGGCTCAAATCGCACTGCAAAAAAAATATGGCATGTTATTTGAACAGAAATGCAGTGCGATTCCTGTCCAAATCCCATGCGCTTTCCCACACCACATCAGTGTGAACTGGCCCTGAAAGATAAGATCAAAGTATGGCAATTTTAACCTTGCTATATTGGTCCAGCTTCAATAAAGCAAAACATTTTAGACCAGACTATGAAAGACTCTGGCTTAACCCTTGCCACCGATGCCCCCTGGCCCTTTAAGAGGATTTAAATGCTGGGAGGCGGAGGTGAGCTTTCCCATTGTGTCACAGCGGTCACATGATCAGAAACTCCCAATTGCAAGTATGCACCAGGAAAGGGTTGATAGTCCAAGCCTGATGTCCTAGATGTGAGGAAGTTTCTGCTAATATTTTACACATTTTGGTCCTGTCCTAGATTATCTTCCTTTTGGGCTGAATTGTTTGATATGTACGTAGGGTTAGGGACTGATGTGCATGTAGAATATATATGTAAAGTGCTGCGTAAATTGACAGTGCTATATAGGTGCCTGAAATAAATAAATCTAGGTTTGCAAGCTCCCAGCACTTCAGAGGTTGGCCTGCTGGGTGTACTTGATAAGTATGTCCCTCTCACTTGTAACCAAATTATATTTAGCTTGATCTAGTGTCCAGCTAAAAAAATTTTTGTTGCACTGGAAAGGTCCATCTCCACCCACATTGCCATATGTCTCCTGCCTGATCAATCAGGTATTACCTCTACATAAACTTATCTACAAAGGCTGTGCTTGTCCAAAAAAAATGTACTAAAGTATGGCAACCCTGGTTGGATATTTAAACCTCTTAAATGGCTAATTTGGCTCTTTCACAATCCCCCCTTTAAAAAAGGGTCGAAAGTATTTCTTTTTTCTGAGCCTAGAGAGTGCACTGGGTGTGTCGGTGTGTGTATGTGTGAGCGAGTGTTGGTGGTTGCACTTCTGTGTGTATCTTCCTTACTGTTGGCTGCAATGATCCATCATTGTATGTGGTATTACTGCATCCAATTAGTTCTGCTAAAGGCTGTACCATTCTATGGATGGTCTAAGCCTGATTGTCATGTTAACTTTGTTGTTGGACGCTGCGCAGTCGACCTTCACGCCATCACTCTGGTTTAGATGGCCTCTGTTTTGTAAACTTTATGAAAAACCAGAAATCATAAATAAATGCCTTTAAAAAAAGGTTTGCTGCGGGAGCTGCCCTTGACAGCAAAGTTACAGTATTGTGCTGTGAGCATGCAGTGAGTGCATTCTCAGCACAGAAAAGCTGTTCCACATGCATTTATGTGACAGACGGGCACTAAAGACCACCCACTGAATATATATGTATGGCCAGAGGGAATGGGTTAAGTGCATTTGTCTTTAAATTAAAGAAACTCTTGGAAAAGAAGGGCATGTATTTTAGCATCTCAAGTTTGAAAAATATTTGGAGGAGAAATAAATTCCATTTACACATTCTGATCTTCCCAAATCTTAAAAACATTATTCTGGACATGAAAACAGCATGGGAGGCTAACTTACAAAAATGCTCCATTTCCATGATGGAAATATTGAGTGACTATAATAAGGAAAAAATGGAATTAGACAAAGAGATTAAAACACTGTAC